AATCAAATCAAGTGGCAGAAAGAAGCAACTTTGTAGAAAGGGAGCAGGCAGACACTTCAACAGTCCTGTTGACGTACCAGGAGAGCGAAAGCAAGAATAAAGATATCTGGTATCTAGATTCAGGTGCCAGTAACCACATGTGCGGCATCAAGGAGTTTTTTACCGAGCTGAACGAGACGGTACAAGGAGATGTCACCTTTGGAGATCAGTCAAAGATTCCAGTGAAAGGCAAGGGCAATATAATGATCCAGACAAAGACGGGCGAGAACAGGTACATCTCTGATGTCTACTATGTTCCAGCATTACGAAATAATATTTTGAGCCTAGGCCAGCTCCTTGAAAGAGGCTATGATATACATCTAAAAGACCTTGCCCTCACTATTAAAAATAAAAATGAAGTTATTGCAAAGGTGAACATGTCTAGAAATAGACTGTTTACCTTAAATATTCATGCTGACCCTGTCAAGTGCTTGAAGTCAATCATAAAAGACGAGACTTGGCTCTGGCATCTACGATTCGGGCATCTCGCTTTCAGTGGCCTGAATCTTCTATGGAAGGAGAAAATGGTAAAAGGATTGCCGCAAATCAACCATCCGAACCAGCTATGTGAAGGCTGTATGAAGGGCAAACAACATAGAAGAAGTTTCGAAGTTGGAAAGTCAAGAAGAGCAACAGAGTTGCTACAATTGGTCCACACAGATATTGCAGGACCATTTGAAGTCATCTCTCTTGGAGGAAACAGGTATTTTCTCACATTTATTGATGATTATAGCAGAAAAACTTGGGTTTATTTCCTGAAGGAGAAATCCGAAGCTCTGGAGAAATTCAAAGAATTCAAGGAGATGGTAGAAAAGCAAAGTGGGTACCACATCAAAGTGCTCCGATCAGATCGAGGTGGAGAATACACTTCGAAGGCATTCAACAATTTCAACAAGCAGTACGGGATAATTCATCAACTCACTGCCGCCTACACACCACAGCAGAATGGCATAGCAGAGCGGAAGAATCGTACCATTCTTGATATGGTCAGAAGCATGTTGAAGAGCAAGTACCTGCCAAAGACTTACTGGGCTGAAGCCGTGGACTGTGCAGTTTACCTCCTCAACAGATGTCCGACAAAGAGCGTCAAGTTCAAGACACCATTGGAGATGTGGAGCAACATCAAGCCAAGTGTCAACCACCTGAAGGTGTTTGGGTGTATTGCATATGCACACATCCCGGAGCAGAAAAGAAAGAAGTTGGACGATCGAGGAGAAAAGTGCATATTCGTTGGGTACGAGAGGAGGACAAAAGCATACAAGCTCTACAATCCAGTTACAAAGAAGATGATCATTTCAAGAGACGTGGAGTTCGATGAAGAAGATTATTGGAAATGGACCGATGAAGATAAAAATATTAAAGGTATGTTCTTTGAAGATAATGATGATGACTTGCAGGAGGTTGGAAGACCAGAACAAAGTCCACCTAATAGTCCAGCTCCATCAACCCCAACATCAACGCCGACATCATCCAGCTCAAGTGAAGGAAGCTCTTCAGGGGGAGCAACAAGGAGGATGAGAAGCCTAAGAGATCTGTACGACGATACAGAGCCTGTCGAGATGATGGATGACTACACACTATTCTGCTTGTTTGCAGAATGTGATCCGGTCAGCTATGAAGAAGCTGCTCAAGAAGATAAGTGGAGAAAAGCCATGGATGACGAGATCGAGGCAATCAAGAGAAATGACACATGGGAGCTCACTACCTTACCTGAAGGCCATAAACCAATCGGAGTAAAGTGGGTGTACAAGACAAAGACAAATCAAGATGGCGGAATCGAGAAGTACAAGGCCAGGCTTGTTGCAAAAGGCTATAGTCAGCGAGAAGGAGTTGACTATGAAGAAGTGTTCGCACCAGTCGCGAGGATCGACACCATCCGACTCATTATCGCATTGGCAGCACAGAACCGGTGGAAGATCTACCAGATGGACGTGAAGTCTGCATTCCTGAACGGCTACTTAGAAGAAGAAGTCTACATCAAGCAACCACCAGGGTACGAGGTGAAGAATCAAGAAGACAAAGTCTACAAGCTGAAGAAGGCATTGTATGGACTGAAGCAAGCGCCCAGAGCATGGAATGCCAGAATCGATGCATACTTCCAGAAGAACGGATTCCATCGGAGCCCGTATGAGCACTCTCTCTATACCAAGAAGAAGGATGAAGACATCATGATCGTATGTCTCTACGTGGACGACATGATCTTCACCGGCAACAATCCGAAAATGTTCGAGGAGTTCAAAAAGAATATGATCAAGGAGTTCGAGATGACTGACATTGGAGAAATGTCATACTTTCTTGGAGTAGAAGTGTCGCAATCAGAGAAAGGAATCTTCATCTCTCAGAAGAAGTATGCAAAGGATATCCTTCAGAAGTTCAACATGAGCAACTGCAATCCAGTCGCAACTCCTGCAGAAGTCGGAGTGAAGCTGAGGCGAGACACACCAGGAAGCTATATTGATCCAACTCTATACAAGAGTTTAGTCGGGAGCTTGCGCTACCTAACCATCACCAGGCCCGACATAGTGTTCGCGGTAGGACTGGTGAGCAGATATATGGAGGAGCCAAGACAGGAGCATTTCAAAGCAGCCAAGAGAATTCTCAGGTATGTCCGAGGAAGTATTGATCAAGGATTATTTTATACACAGTGTGCAGATTCAAGATTAGTCGGCTACACCGACAGCGATTATGGTGGAGATTTAGATGAAAGAAAGAGCACATCTGGCTACATGTTCAATATCGGATCAGCAACATTCTCATGGTCATCAAAGAAGCAGTCTGTCGTCGCTCTATCAAGTTGCGAAGCAGAATACATAGCAGCATCGACATGTGCGTGTCAAGCAATATGGCTCAGGAGTCTGATGAAGGAATTGCAACACCAACAAGAAGCACCGACAGAGATTCTCATCGACAACAAGTCAGCTATTGCACTTGCCAAAAATCCGGTAGCACATGGACGAAGCAAACACATAGAGACAAGATATCATTTCATCCGACATCAAGTTAAAAAGAAGACTGTGATGCTGTCATATTGCAAGTCTGAAGACCAAATCGCTGACATCTTCACCAAGCCACTAAAGACAGAGACATTTTTGAAGCTTAAGAAGAAGCTTGGACTTGAGAGAAATGAAAGTTGGTGATGAGGGGGAGTATTAGAATTCCTCACCAACTTAGATTATTCTAGAACAACTTTCTAGAACTTCTTTCTAGTAACATCCTACAAAATATCTACCATGAAGTTTCTAGGAAGATACAAGTGTATGGCTAGTATTTATTCTTCTAGAAACTTCTTAGTAATGTATGGCTAGGATTAACTCTTCTACACACTTCCTAGCCCTCTTAAACAACTATAAATAGGGGTCTTGTGCTCTCATTTGGGAATGCAAGCAAGCAAGCAAGAAGTGAGCTTGAGAGCTTGAGTGTGTAGTGTAGCCTTGTGTGAGTGTCCACCAAAATAAAGGAATTGTGTGAAAGTGAGGTGTTCTTGTAAGAACAAGTGTTGTATTCTCAAGTGTTCTATCAATAAAAGTTTCCTTTGTGTAGAGTGTTGTGTTCTTCAAATTCCATCACTTCGGTCGACCGACTAGAGAGCTCTTGCCCAGTTTCCTGAGAACGTCTGAAATTCTCAGAAAACTCATAAAAAATCAAAAAATTTCGGATGTAACTCGTGTATAGATGTTGATTTAATATGATTAGGAGGAGTTACCGTCACGATGGGCGAGGAACCGACCGAATTTGGACCCGACGACTTGGAGATCAGGCAACCGAGAAGTTGCAGCAATGGGAATTACCGCAGAAGTAGCAGGTGTCATCATGGTAGTTAATGTCTTAACACACGAGCCGTGGATTGTGTTTGCTGAACTTAGTTATGATCGCTCGGCCTGATGGGGCGCGTCGCTACCGAGAGCAGACCCTGCGAAATGCGAAGAAGTTCCGCGAGGGGAAGGAGGTCAGAGATTGACTCCAGGATATCTGGAAACACGTGGATGACCACTGACCAATATGTTGTCGTCGACCATGCTCTTTTCTCAAGGAAATTCTTTGTCGTGGTCTAGTTTTGAAATCGAGCCAGGGGGGAATTAAGAAGATTATAATAGGATTCGGTTTGTTGTTTGATGAGAGCGTGTCTAGATTTTATCGCGATTCAAATAGAAAAGGCGACTTTAATTAAATTGTTTATATTTGACTGGAATTTTAACTTAAGTTGATTACACCTTATTCTTGGCTCTCCGCTAGTGTACGTGTTCATCGCTAACCTAATATGTCTGCATCTGTAAGATTTTAAAAAAGAGTAGGTTTTGAAATTTTGTCCGACATGTTTGGGATTGATTATTTTCAGAAATTCCAAAATTACGCTTAATAACCTAGTAAGGCAATTAGATTTTATTCCAATTTATTTGCATTATGTGACTTTCTATCTAAAACTGGTTACCCTGTAATTAGAGTTCCTTCGAATCGTAATTAATCATGACCGATCCGCCATTATGGTTCCTATTTTGATTTTGATTGGAATATTAATCATGTTTGGAAAATAATAACATGTAAAACATACTTTTTTCTTTTTTTACAAGAAGATATAGAATCCCTAGTTTATACTCAAATTATATAATCAAGGATCTTTAATTGATTACAACTTCTAATTCAACAAGAAAACTAAAGACTTATCAAAAGCAATTATTCAATTAGAATGCGTACTTTTTACGGCATGCATTGCTTTGAAGGAAAATAAATCAGAAGGGGTTGTAGTATGGTTCTGAAGTAATTAAAGTTGCACCCTAATTGATTAGGGGAAAAGAGTTATAGTTGCATTATGAGAAGTACCTTATTTCTATTTCATCATGGTTTTTGCATATTCCAGTAATATCACAAGCTCTGTGATTTACATTTCTGTACTGCAAAATTTGGTCCTGATATACATGAAACTTTCGCTAGAAAAAACTATTAATGAACAACAAGTAACAAACTTATCAGGACAATCCCTATACCTCATTACTGCAAGAATTCATGATAAATGCCTCCACGAATATGAGAGGAAAAATGATTGTGAGTAACAAAATTTCGTAATTTGATTAACGTTTTGGCCTCATATCTCTACCCTTCATGTGCATTTCTTGTCGTTGAAAATTTTGTAGATAACCACTCAACATACAATGTTACAGTATTATGTTCAGGCTTCAGTGAGATTGAAAGAATCTGCCATCTTACAGAACTCATTCCTGACCTTCACCCAAGTCGATTCAGGCGCCTGAGCATTTAAAGTGAAGAGCTTTCCGTTTCTTGAAGTACAAACAGCAACATTGTGTCGACGAAATGAAGGGCTCTCCACTCTGAACTCTAACTTGTAATAGTTCACCTTCTTCAAGGTATCTTCTCTCAAAGTTGCATCAACAAGCGTCGCTGTAATTTCTGGTCCTTTCCTTGATCCAGCGATTTTCTTCAGCACAGATTCTCCGACTTCCTTCGGACCGCCAAAAGCCTCAATTCTGGGTAACAAACTTCCATGGTTATTACAAGAACAAGGGCAGAGCCATATTGTGTTTCAGCAGTTCAGGTTAGTCAAGTGCCTAACCTGAACTCGAGATGTTTTGTACGGAACTTATATTCTTGTAAATTATCCGATATCATGTGTACCTCCACACAATCTTTTATTTTCGGTGCCCCACACTCAGAGCTCTCTGCTTAAACTTTATTAAATATTAAAGCTAACGTCACATTGTTCATCTCAGTTAAACTATATACTCTCAATTATAGTACACCCAAATTGACACTGTTCTCTTCAATTTTGGGGTATAAAATTGTGGTTTATAAATTTGCTCTTCTGTTGCCTTTTTTTTTCCCTCCTATTGAAACATTTTGATTTTAAAAAAATATGCTTAATTTTTGTGCCAGATGAATTTTCCCCAACCAAGAAGTACAAAAACTTTTAGGGTTAATTGCTGATAGATCCCTTATAGTTCTATTAATGCAGACAGATTTCATGAGTGAACCTTTTTTTTCCTCCCCCCTAACTCTTTTATCACCAAAGAGAAAAATCACAAAATTATAAGAGTTGAATTTAATTTACGTACGAGAAATCACGAGGAACTTCTGAGACGATGACGCTGACATTGAGCTCACCATTGGAGCCCGGAGGTCCAAAAGCCACTGCAGGCTCATTTGCACCTCGACTTCTTGATCCGTTTCTGTTCAAAGGTGGAGGATCTAGTGATCTTTGAGACTCTGCATTGCCTACAGCTCTATACAACAGCGTTTGGTCTCCAACCCAGTTTGCAGGATATATGAACTCTGCACATTTTTGAAAAGAAAAAAAAAATTCGGGTGAGCTATGGTTCTATTAAAGAGCTAGGGTTGATTTGCACATACTGCCACTTTAGTTTCATTCCGGAACTTGTTGGAACAGAAGCGAGAAAAATAACAAAAAAGTGAAAATTGAAGACACAGATTTACGTGGTTCACTAACGTTGTGTTAGCTACATCCACGTGCAAAGAGAGAGAGAGAGCGATTTTATTATATGTGAGGCGATAGAATACATGTTACATCAGAATGAGTTTATATAGCACTCCAGAAAACCCTAGGCGCTAAATAACAGATTTGGGCACAAGTAATAAAACCCAATACAGAACCTGATGTATACCGTGGACTTACGGGACGCTGCCCCAAACCTCGCCAGGGGGGCGACTTCTTCCCCCGGACCCCCCCAGCCAGGGGAGTGCTGCCCCTTGGACCCCCGGCTCGCTGATCGGGCAGCAAGACCCCTGTGCTGAGTTATTCGTAGCGCGACTAGACTGATGGGCTGACATAAGAAGTCCACGGATTCAAGGTATCTCAACAGAACTTACTACCCTTTAAGCGTCATGTTGCCAAGTGGACCTCTCGGCTGAAATTCTTAGGGTGCGTCTCTTATTTTTTTTAGGGTTATTTCCACATACACCACTTAAATCATGCGTACTTCGCAAAACTCGCCCAAATCGTAGTATTTGCAAAACAACCCTTCAAATAATCAATTTTGGAAAAAAAGGCCCCTAAATCAATCAATCATCTACTTTAATAGGTTAATTTGTAACTAGGATGTATAAATATCAACAAAATAGTCTAATTTTTTTCACTCACCGAGTCAATGATTTCTTTGACTGTAGGGGTATTTTTTTTTCTTCCAAAATTGATTTGTTAAGGGGTAGCTTTGCAAATACCAAGATTTGAAGGATAGTCTTGCAAATAACTACGATCCAACATGTATGTAAGCAAATATAAGCCTATTTTTTTTAATTTTATTTTTTTATTTTTCGAAATTTAGCCTTAAAAAAGTTCACCGCAGGAAGTTATCCGGCCGTCAAAACGAGAAAGTACGGGGCATTACAGTCAAAAGAGATCTACGTGCAATTAGGGACTGTTTGGTTCCTTGTTTTTAAGGGAAAGTTTCTCTTGAAAACCCGTCAAAAATGTTAAAAATGTCATTTTTTGGCAGGTTTTCAGTCAAAATCTTTTTTTTTAGAGATGATTTGGACCGAAAGGCTGCCAAAAAGTTACACCTTAGCAGGCTTTCAAGAGAAAAAAATTGTAACCAAACAGCCCCTTAACACCCTCATTTTTGCGATAAACGAAGTAACCACGTGACTCACCGAAGCCATTGCTGGGGTCGAAACAGCGAGTGAAGCCTTGGATCGGGTACAGGACGTCGAACCTGAACCCGCGAGCTAAGCCTGGCGATAAGTTGAGGAGGGAGCTGGTGATGCCCGCAAAATTGGCACCAACCGCGACGAGAGAGCCGGGTGGGTTCCCGCCCGCAGAGGCGCGGATCCGAATCCGATAGAGGCCGGAAGAGGGAGAGGATGCTCCTATTGCTTGCAACGCCATTTGCGCCCTCTTATCTCTGTCCAGGACTTGTGATAAGGCGCGTTGAAATAGAATCTCGGGGATATCTGATAAGGCGCGTTGAAAGGGCATAATTGTACTTTTGAGTTTGAAAGCAAGTTGCTTGGACTTTTAACTAATATATATAAACCCCCACGCGTTTTTTCCCCCTCTCCGTGTTTCACGTTTTATTCCGAATTCTTATGCGTAGATCAAACTTTTTGTCCCCACTAAATAAAGTCTCCGAGTAAATTTGAGCCAACTCCCTCATGTTTGGGATTTCTCAAATGGGCCCCTTAATTTTCAAACTGTCACGAAATCCCCATGAGGTTTTCGGATCTCAAGAAACTCCCTTCAACTTCCCAAGTGAGTAAAATTTGAGGTGGGTTGTGGTAGGGCCGTTCTTAAAGAGAGGGGTTTCGTGAAGTTTACCCTAATATTTTTAACGGTATTATAATTATCGTCTGGTGTTACGAGAGGATGACTTCTTCAATAATGCTTCTGCACATACTCCGTTCTTCTGTGTAAAAACAGGTTCTTTATTCGGTGTCTGCATGTATAGTTTCTCTTTGCGATTTACAAGAAAATATTCCCTCTTTTTGCGTCTAGTAGAATATAATATAATTTTTATAGTACAACTACCATTATGCAATCAATAAATAGGTAACAAAAGGAAGGAAGTACTTAATGGGCATTTATGAATATTGTAACAATACTAATGTTCATAAATATGTAATTCGTATCATTATATTTGACGAAGGTTATGCTTGACGCTACATTCGCAGACAACCACAGGGTATTCGAACTCACTCCTTATAAGCACGTCGCCCTTGACTCTTCTTGATTGAGAGCTACAGTTCAAACAGTCTACTATTGAGGCTACGAGCTATCAATATCAACAACGAAGTCTCAAATTTTTTTGAGTTCAACAAAAAACAGGAGACTTTACACTGAAGAAAAATACGTCTAATTCACTATTTGAAAATCCTCATTTTTTTTAACCTCCGCATTTAAAATTGTAGCTCAACTTTTAATGAGCTCTGTTGAATCCGTTAAGAACAAAAAGGAAAAGAAATGAAATGAACAGGGAGATTAGAGATGCCACGGTTAATCTTTTCAATGATTCCCATCCAAAATTGTTTTCCCTTCCCTTCTCACTTCTAGCACCTATTCACATCTCTACTCTTTCTTTCTCTCTCTCTCTCTCTTCACAAAAGAGAAACCCCTTTAGTTATGTCAATCTAACAACAATTTCAATTTTACATAATTATCGACCTCGGTCACGATCCCGCCAGCTCCGTCCACCACCACCCGGGTACAGGTTCCGGTGGCCGGAATCCCACTGCCTCTGCCTCGACCACTCTCGGCTCCGATCAAACTCCGGATAATAATCTCGTCCATGTGACGAGTTTCTGACCACAGCCGGGCTATCCTCAGGGCTCCAACTACCCAATCCTCCCCTAGCCGCATATTCGTTTCTCCTAGGAGGATATATACTATGACTATTAACGTTGTAGTTGTTAGGGTTGGGGTCAGCATAGTAGTTTGAGTTGGTGCCCGTGTTGCCCGGATAGATGGCGGGAGTTTTAGGCTGAGAATATATCGGCAATTGAGGATGGTTAACTGGGTAATGGTTTGACGATATCATAGTCTCAGGAGCTCGGCTTTGTTGCTGATATGGATGGGTATATAATGACGGTTGCTTATATAATGACGACGGTTGCTTTGTTGGCAGTGAATTTGTATGCGGGTTGACCGTGACCATCGCCGGAGCTTGGTTAATGGCAGTAGGCATCACCGGAGATGGGGTCGGCGGCAAAATGGTAGGAATCGTCGGAGAACTGTGAACAAACTGAGATTGTGAAAATGAAGTGGTAGCATGGGATGGGAACTCTGATCTCCAAGCGGTTATCTGCATAAAAACAAACAACATTAAAACTCAGACGTGAGAAACTTATACGTCAAAAGCATTAGGGTACTTCACAGTTTCTTACCCTGGCGGCATCTGAAGGAGGTGTTGGAGACGGAAGAGAGACTGGTTCCGGTTCAGGCTCGGGCACGCGGGCCGCATGCCCATTAAGGAGACCGGCTGAGCCTGTTCCGGCTTGCTTCACCATATCGAGCAGCGCTACCAACTGTTCATCACTAAAATTCTTCCCTTCACCTTTTGTAAGTGCTAATACGACGTCTGGATTCTTGAGAAGTACTTGGAGAAGCTCAGCGTCAGTCTGTGGGTCCACATCGCCAGTCGTCACCGGAGCAGCAGAGGTGGAAGGCTGGTCTTCAACAGCCATGGTGTCAGAATCCGGCACCTGATCGATGGGGATTTCGGGGGTGAGACTGTCGTCGAAGTCCATTTCGACGTCCCATGGATCTTTTGGATTGGGAGGGATTTGTTGGGGATTTTGATAGAACGTCTCCTTTCCTCTCTTGTTTCTTTCAGTTTGGCCTTGGACTTCTTTGCTGTTCTCTCCTGCGCCTACTCTCCATGTAGAGCTTAACGTAACCTCTGCAGCAGAACAATGTCGAAGCCAAAAGGGACAAAGGAGGAAAAAAAAAAGTTTTTGTCAGGATCAAGAAAGCTCGATTGCATCATATACAACAAAGGTAAAACACAAAACCTGACGTATAAAAAAAAACAATGAAAATGAGATTAATTGCAGAACAAAATCTGCGCTTTGTTTCCACTCATCAATTTTGATTAGTGGTATGCTTGAGATGACATCAAGATCAACAGAACAAGAAGGGCTAGAAGACAAAAGCTTTAGCTTTTTGCCCGATGCCCTGAAGTTTGCAGGAAACGTGGAGAGAAAATACAACTGCAACGTGTCAGATAAAAGCCATTCAAGCCCGCCAAAATTGGCTTTATTAAGTGAACCATCTCCATCTGCAGCAAGTTTACGCATGTTCGTGCAGTTTGCATAAAGTTATGATAATTCTGCCAATACTTATAAAATATTTATGATCTCCTGGGGCTTTGTATCATCACCATTTTGGATCACATGAAATTTTTGCACATTTCACCAGTATCAGTTTCAATATTTGATATCATACAACTCTGCAAGTGAGAAATAAGTAGAACTTATTTATACAGTGCTCAAGAAATATTCTCTACAATTTTTTTTTTTTGGGTCTCCATGAGTCCTTTAAAAGGTATGAGAAAGCAAAACTAGGGCCATTCATTCTCTTGCATCGTACAGTTTTACAATACTACATTACTCGTATAACCCATGTTGATTCAGTTGTTCAATTTTGAGTTATCAGCTAGCATGAAACATGAAACGTAACAGTAGAAAACTGGAGAATAACTCCACTTTAATTTAAAATTAAAAAAAAATGAAACGATTCAATTCTTCCTTTATGGATTATTTACAGCACCTTGTTACATGAACACTCGTTTCTTCAGCGAAAAACCATGAGATCAACATAAAAGAAAACACCATATAGCTCCTCCACTTTCGATAATGAAATCAATCCCATGATGCATCCCACAGTTTTAACTAAAAAAAGAATTACTCCGTAAAATAACTATCTGCAAAGCAATTGTTTCAAATCCTTAAGCACGTACAGTTGTCAACCTCCTTACATTCTGAACCCCTTAAATTTCTCCCCTCTATCTTATTAAATATCTTATCCCCATAAACATGAACGCAACTCATTCTCCTTCTGTGTACTAATGAAAAGTGATGGAGGTTGATGTTGATCAGAGTTCTAAGATAACCGTGGCGCAGTTTTGTTAGAATTTAATTAGCATCTGTTTTGGCTATGTTCAGTTACAAGAACAGACGAATTATTTTGCTTGCTACGTTACTAGAAGGACTAGAAGATATAAGGGAGCTTCAAGCTCGGTCAACCTCCATTAAAAATGTTTGAAGTCCTCAGAACCTTCAGTACAAGCGGGGTACTCCTGATATGTTACATTCGAGTCTTGGTGCATTTTAAACCACTTATATGAATTGTTAATCGATGCAACGTATACTTATATACTGGTTCATAATAGATTCAATATATACTATGTTAGTGTTATGCTGTTATCACATCCCTTCATGAGCTTCTCGAACCATAGCAAAGCAGAGAAATTGCTCATAATTAGTTTCACAGCCAAGAACGATATAAAAATTCTGCCAAAAAGAAACAATGTCATAAACCAAGTAATTTGTATTCTTCGCAAAGTGCCCATCGATACGAGCAGTGTAAAACTTTGTTTGCACTCTAGGACAAATTCCACCTTTGTTCCTATATTCAAAACATTCAACAAATAACAAATCAAAGATACGAACAAAAAATAACATTGAAGTACCTGGAGGCATACGCCATTGGATCTGATTCTTCTTAATTTTCTCCAACATCTGTTCCTGAGGTGTCAAATTTCTAATATTCTCTGATTTATGTGATGAATTTTTTGACGCCAGCACTGGAGGTTTTTTGACTTCATTTTTCCTCAGCTGAGGAAGCTGAGGCGTTTTGTTCTCAGAAGGGGCTTTATGATCTTCGGTTTTCGGCGGAGTAGTCTCAGTGGCTGGAGGACTATTGCTTTTCCCATATTTTTCTTGCATGAAGCTTGCTCGCATCTTTGCCTTCTGGATGTCATCAGTCGACATCGGACGGCTATTGTTTGAAGGCACTGCTCTTGTTGCTGGCCCACTTCTTCCTGCTTTGTTATCAGGCTCAACCAGCTGAACTTTCCTACGTTCTTTGTTTTCTGTAGCATATGCTAAGGAAAATGTATATTCTGTATAAAGTATGAACTGCACAAATATTGTTCAAGACCAAGCTTTGGTTGCCACTACATAAGTGATACTTGAATAATAATTGCTTGGCTGAGAATTTGAATAGCAAGTGCTACATGAGCAATGGCTACATGACCTTTTTCCAAGTAGAAAAGAATTGGCGGGAATATATGGAATGTGATACAGTGTAATTGCTAACTGACTCGTTGGTTGGTCATTGTTCAATTTTTGGGGCCTATTTTCAGCATACCAAGATTTCTCGCCAACTTCAAACCATCAAAAAAGAGCTGTTTTTTTTTATCATCAGATATGTATCCGAAAAAACTTTACATTACGAGAAAATTTGAAGGCTAATTACTGCTTAACTGTAAACTATTGGTATCGACAAAATCATACCCTATTCTTCAACAATTTTTACCCTTTATCTTTGATTGCTCACCACCGTATAGGTAGTGGGATCTTTTGCAAGGGATATGCTAACATATTTATGTCCTAAAAAAATAAACTCATCTCAGTTTTCTTGAATCATTTCTTGAAAACTAAATTGATTTGAGCCAAAAATACTCTTCTATTTTCGTTTATACAGTCCTGTACTATCTTTAAAAAAAACAACACAGGTTCTTTTCAAGTGATGTATGTTATCTTTGAGGTGCGTTTGATTTCAAGGAAGTACGTGAAAGTCTAGTATTTTCCGGGCCGAAAATACTAGAAGAGCGTATGTGAGAGGGAGATAGTTTCCTCCGTGTTCCTCATGTCAGTCTACTATTCCCCTTCAAAAGGGCGTAGGCAAAATAGAACCTTCAGTTACTTAATCTGGCTTCTAGCCTGCTTTTCCCCCATAATTCCCCTATGCAAACAAAGCCTAAATGCAAATCATCAGGTAAATATTACCATCCAACCATGAGGAAATTAGGCAGCTGCTAAATCTAAAAGCAAGTTGTTGACCACCTGACTTCAAGCGCAGACTGGTAACAGTCAACTTAAAAGTTGCCTTTGTTCTTCCAGACAATGATATGATAAAGTCCAATATGTCATATAAAAGAGATACATGCCCACAATGCTGAAGGAAAACCTTTAAATTTAGCAGAAGGATACTTGTAGCAGAGACACTCAGGCCATGCTTTCTAGTTGATCCATCACTTGAATCTGTAAGCAGCTTCAGTGCCTTTTTAGGCTCAGTTTCCCTGAACAAAAAAGGTGAACTTTGATCATTCCATGACTTGATTCATACATGATGATGAATGACCCTGATGAGAAAGCTGACTGCCCAACGGTTAATAGCAATATATTCAGTAATATATGGGTCCATAGATGGGGGGGAAAAGCGCTGTAGGCTGGTTTTCTTGAAAGGTGGTGAATGGGCAAGCTCAACAGCAAAAGTAGATTTTCCCCCCAGGAGAAACTCATCCATTTCTTCGCGAGACTGAGAATTTCCTCAGTTAAAATTTTATTTTCAAACTAATTCTTCTACAACCGACATAATTTGAAATTTATGAGAAGTTAATTGCTTTGGATGAAGAAAACTGGCCAAGGGCTGTAGTTGAAAACTGGCCAAGGGCTGTAGTTGACCACACTAGGTGGGAAACTGACACAAAAAAGATAAAATTGTTTTCGAGAGTTAGAATCATAAAACCGTATTTTTAATATTTTCTCAATTCCAAACCTTCCATTTCTTCGCGAGACTGAGAATTTCCTCAGTTAAAATTTTATTTTCAAACTAATTCTTCTACAACCGACATAATTTGAAATTTATGGGAAGTTAATTGCTTTGGATGAAGAAAACTGGCCAAGGGCTGTAGTTGACCACACTAGGTGGGAAACTGACACAAAAAAGATAAAATTGTTTTTGAGAGTTAGAATCATAAAACCGTATTTTTAATATTTTCTCAATTCCAAACCTTCCATTTCTTCGCGAGACTGAGAATTTCCTCAGTTAAAATTTTATTTTCAAACTAATTCTTCTACAACCGACATAATTTGAAATTTATGGGAAGTTAATTGCTTTGGATGAAGAAAACTGGCCAAGGGCTGTAGTTGACCACACTAGGTGGGAAACTGACACAAAAAAGATAAAATTGTTTTTGAGAGTTAGAATCATAAAACCGTATTTTTAATATTTTCTCAATTCCAAACCTTCCATTTCTTCGCGAGACTGAGAATTTCCTCAGTTAAAATTTTATTTTCAAACTAATTCTTCTACAACTCCCCCCACACCCACACCCACACCCACACTTTCAGAAAGCCTCCTGAAGAACATAGACCAGACTGTTAGGCAATTACCAAGCCAGTAAGGTAACTGGATCTCACCCTTTCTCATCCACAAAGCTACACTGTATATTATTTAGTGCATATCACTTTTTATACAGTTGTTCAAATTAAATAGCGGTGGTGGAAAACTTCTTCGCATCATAACTTGAAGATTTTACTGAGAATTAGCCCAAAAATATTGGATAATTTGATTTCCTGTTTCCAGTTCCACTCTGTACCTTGGGCTCTGCGTGCAATCAGGAATTTGAGTGGGCCCAACCAAGGCATGTTGGCTTTCATACAACTAGTGAGGCCTCTTTTTTTTTCTGCTACAGTAACTTTCACACGCAACAATGTTTTTGTAAGCGCTACAGTAATTGTTAACGGATGCGGCACTGTTTATACTATAATAGTTCACTGTGGCATGAATATTGAATCTTAGGATCCTCCTATAAGTATTGAGGAGTAGATTACCTCAAAGAGATCTTGTTTTTCTATAGTTAGTAGCCTAAACTGGGTCTCAACTAAGATAATTAGTGGTAAGAGGCGCCAGCTCACTCCTGTGATTAGTGCTAATGAAGGAGACAAATACCTGCTATCTTCAGCACTTTGTGCGAGCGCAAGAATATCCTCCTGTAAAGGGTAAGAAGAAAGGAGAAAGAGTTAAAAGTAAATTCTGGGGTACAAACTTTCAAAGCCCTTAGATTTCATAAACACTTACAGGAATATCAAGTTTTGATTCCCATGACACATCATCAACTATCCCATTGGGCCTATGATTGAAAAATAAAGAATCAATTCCTGTGATAATAAATAGAAGAAAAATGAACGGCAGAAAGCATATTGGGAGACAATTTCATGCCTTTGTTTTTGATTCATCTTCCTTTGGCCATTCTTGAGAGAATTCCTATTTCGCTGAGTTCTCACAAACATTTTGCTCCATCTTGACAGCAGGACTTTTGCCCTGTTTGAAATGTCTGATCTTCACATCAGTTAAATGAGTTCAAGAAATGTATAATGAGAAACAATGATTCAAGTAGAAGTTAAATTTTAGTTAGAGATTATCTGTTTACAGCCAATACCTAAACTGCAGGTTGATTGGATGGAAGGAAGGGACAAAAACTGTTTCTTCAGAGTATTTCATTAACACAGCAGACAAAATAGAGGACAACGCTTCCCTAGAAAACTGTTACGATTTATTTATGGATGGCACTCAACAAAAAGATTGAAGCAATTTGTTCCCCAATTGTTTCAGGATCAAAATTATCTGCAATATTATGACTATCTGGCAAATCGTCAAAAAAGATTAAGAAATTTGATATTG